CTTAATAAAATTTAGAGTAATTTTAATTTATTTTTTTGTCCAAAATTGTCCAAGCATGTCCAATGACAACCCTGCCTATACCAGCCTTCATGTGTCACTATGGCGCACTAGCATGGTACAACTTCCCAGATGCCAAATTTAGAAATCCATATGTAAGTGTATATAATGATATTACTATTTGTACAGATGTAAACTAAGATAATTTTTGTTTTTATTTATCTGTTATACTAAGACAATTTCAATTGTATCTATCTATTATGGTTAACAAGACTTATGAATTTATTCTTTATAAGACCCTTTTTGACGTTAATGTCAGAGTGTGTACTCTTTTCGTGTTGGAGTTAGGATAGATTATAGAATACTTTCCTTTTTTTTCGTGTTAAAGTTAGGATAGATTTTTGAAACTTTCTTTTCTTCCTACAACTTATTTTATCACCCATATATCACATAATTACTTTATATCCGATTCTTCAATAATCCCATCCGTTTTTTTTTTTTTTATGTATGGACATATTTACTGCCAATCAAAATGATTCTTAAATACATGAATTCATCTAGTAACATTTTGTTTACTGTTTTATTTCATTATTATGTAATTTTACAGCTTATGGATATCGTACTCTTTATTCAAGCAGTAAAAATACTCTTCCTTTTAATCAATTTCATGTAAATTCAAGTTATGATGGTAGTCTGGGATTTAAGGTTATCGATGATACCAATGTAAATCGTTATAAAAGTATTTATCCTATATTACCAAATGGAACTACAATAGATATCAATCTTGATTTTCCAAATTATAAAAACATAAGCATTAGTCGCATATACCCTTTAACTATGAAACTTTATTTCTTACTTTATGATAATATTGTCAATGGTAGTGTCACGGGGTTTACCAACACTCCGTGAACTACTAAACTTTTACTATCGGTCTTTAACTCGCTTGGCTACTATATACGATGACTGGTGTATCGTACCAGATACTACCACCAATATGTATTCACAGAGATAACAACAGTTTATTCACTAAGAATAATTC